ATCCCTTATAGAATTGCCGGGAGGGATAAATTAGATTACTCATGTAGAGTAAACAGTGTTTTGTACTCAATCAATGCTATGATCATTGCCTGCTGTTTTGATCTGTTTTCAATAATGAGGACACAGGATGGATTATAAGTGAGGTGCCAGATTGGGTAGGAAAGGGGTCCCACACCAAGACAAGTGCCCCATTGGCCATGGATCTCTGCTGGCTCCCTGGGTCAGCAGGGGATCATGGGAAGGAGGACGGATACAATGTGGTCAGCACTTTGTACATATGGCCATCTGCTTGGCTCAGGGCTAAAGTGCCACTTCAGGAGTTGCACTGGCCTGAGCTCTCCGATAATGGGGCCAAAGGGGATGCCCATATGCTGAGCCACTTCCCTGATGGGAGTCAAGGACCGTGTGGCTCCCTCTGGACCAAGACTCATTGGCGGGAGGACCAGAGCATCCTGACTCTCCGGCCCAGCCTTCCCAGCATTCAGCAGGGCAAAGGACCAGGGCTCCTGAAAATCTAATCACTGAGCCAATGAGGGCTTCCTTTCCCAGGGGCAACTAATGGGGCATAAAGTGACCCCAGAGCCGAGCACCACAGGATTAGGGAGCCCCCACTCCTGTATTTCCTGCTTGGAACTCTGTTTTTAGGTAGCATGCCCTCAACAACCTGGACTCAGCAAGTCTTTAAAAGAATAACTAGCCTTCATCTGAATGAAAGGATGAGTGTAGAATCCAAAGTCAATCAGAGAAGTCATTAAAAACCAAGGAAGGTAGTCACTCAGAGGAGAGTTTATTCATTCTTATGTATTTTTTTATAGTCAGTCTATCACCCCAAAGCTAAATACGTAACCATTCCTCAATGAAAAGTTCTTGAACGCCAACAGTGCACTTATTTCTTTCAAGAGTTTGAAGTCCACCCAAGAGTTTTACCTGCAGCCTTTAAAAGCTTTAAATAAACGTAAACCCTGTTATAAGACACACATGAACGGCAGCAGCTACACATGTGTCATAGCGACAAGCATGGCATGGAAATGTCTGCCAGCTCAGCAGCTCCTCACCTGATACAGGCAGCCTGTTGGTGCCCTCGTCCACACTGTCACCCTCAGTGACGTCGGCGGGTCCCCAGCAGGGACACGGTGCTCACACAGTCTGCCACCCCCATAGCAGCTTGGAGAAGGACCCCTGTCCACCATAAAGACGCTGTGTCCTTGCCAAGGTCCCAGTAATCATGTGGTCTTGGGAGTCTGTTGGTCTCCATTCTAACTGAGATGTAGAATGGAGATAATGTTATGCGGATAATGGATGTTTTAACCAAACTTCTATCCCCAAGGCTTTCCGCCCTGAATGGCCAAAGGGGGTGCTATTTCCTCGCAAAGGCCATGAGGGCTTTCTCTTCAATTCTGATTTTCACCAAGCTCCCAAACCAACTTGTTTGGGGCCTGTCTCCCCAAATTCATTATTCCTACTTGGTGGTCTTCATCGACCTCCTCCTGCCTATCTTGGGTTTTCTAATTCAGTCCAGCAGGCCAGACAGGGAACCCTTCGTTCATCACCCCTCTTCTCTCTTCCCAGCCTCCTGCAGCCACCAATTCTTTCTCCATACCACTGGGGGCCAGGAAGGGCGTGGGGGAAGAAAAAGCCATTTGTCTATTATGATTGTGAACAGAATTGTGTGAGTGTGTGTGTGTGTGTGTGCATGTGTGTGTCTGTGTGTGTTTATGAGTGTGTGTGTATGAATGTGTGTGGTACATGTGCGTGTGTGTGTGTGTTTGTGTGTGTGTGTGTGCCCAAGCAGTATTCCCACCCGGCTTTCAGCTCAAACCACGGCAGGACCAGGAGTTTTCAGGAGTGAGGAGCTCATCCACTCACAGTGGGAAGGACCGGCCATGTGTCCAGGTGAAAGGACACTCTGGCACAAGCAGGGACTAGGAACTCTAAGACACAGACGTGTACCCGAGTGGCCTTGCTTAGTGAGCAGTGAGGACAGTTAGCCTGGGACAGGAGTGACAGCAGGGAGTCCCAGGACAAGAGGGTGGGCGGCTGGGGCAGAGCTGAGTTCTAGAAAACAAGCCCATGAGAATGGGTTTGCTGTTGTCAGTGAGGAGGGACTCCGGGGGTATCTGAGCAGGGGTAGCGGCAGGATGGCGGTAGCATTGGCAACCTCAGAGCGAGCGCGATCTGACCAGGAAATGCGCGGACGGGAAAGGCAAGAAGAGCGTGGGGATATGTCATCGCCGAGGAAACGCAGGGGGAAGCGTGCACGCTGGACCCCGGTCACAGACGGGACACACAGAAGCGTGAGCAGTTCTGGGGTGAACCTGAGCTTTCTCTTCCTGTGATGTGGCCACATGACCAAGTTCCTTTGATTGTGGCCTATCTTCTAAAGGAAACTTCTATCCCCAATGAGTTCAAACTGCGTTTGTATCCTTTACCTCATCTGCACTGTCTCATCAATGACCCCTTCTCAGTGTACCATGCTCCGCGGTCGCCTCCATAGCCCAGCTTCGCCTGAGCTGCTCTCTGCTACAGCCTCTGGCTGTGAATGTGAACCATGGTTTTACCGTCTGCTGGACCCATTATCTTGACCCTCCTGCCTGTTCTTACCTCCTGCCCTGCCCTCTGGGGGGACAATGAAGGCAGGGATCCTTCGCCTTTCATTGAGCATCTCTAGGTCCAACTCTGCCTCCCAGGGCTCCTGCCTCTGTTATTCCATCATCTTCTCCCCTAACGTAGAGGAAGAGAGATGGAAGAAAGTCTTTATTGGAAACTCCAGAATTCGTGCAGGATGTACCAAGCATGTAAGCCCCTCGTCAGAGCAGAATACGACACCTGATTTCTTCAAGGTCGTCTCTTCTTGTAGTGGAACTGGGGACTGTTCTTTGCCTTGGCCCCTGAGAGGGTCTTTTGGGGTCCCAGTTGGGAATGTGCCCCCCACCTAGTGTAGAACCCCGAGAATTCATGAACTAGGGCTCAGCCCTCTGGATGATTCCAGTGTCACACTTTCAACTCGGAACCATAACACTGGGCTTGGATGACAGTTCAAAACCAGTTTGGGTTCTAGCTGGTTTGGCTCAGTGAATAGAGTGTTGGCCTGTGGACTGAAGGGTCCCGGGTTTGATTCCGGTCAAGGGCACGTACTTCGGACCTTGGATGCAGGCTCTGGTTGGGGTGAATGCAGGAGGCAACCAATCGATGTGTCTCTCTCACATTGATGTTTCTCTCCGTCTCTCCCCCTCCCTTCCACTCTCTAAAAATCAATGGAAAATATCCCTGAGTGAGGATTAACCAAAACAAAAATCTGATTTGGGGTGTGGAGCCAGGGCTGCTCCCTAACTGAAATGTAGAATGGAGATAATAATATACAGATAATGGTATAATAACCAAAAGACGAATGGCCCTGAAAGCACAGCCTGGGTGGCTTAGTTAACAGAAGCTTATTTTCTCACTGTTCTGGAGGCTGGAAGTCCAAGGTCAGGGGCCAACAGGGTCAGAGGCCTCTCCCTGGCCTGCAGGTGACCACCCTCTCGCTACTCTCCATGTGGTGGCTCCTCTGTGCTAACACGTCCCTGCTGTCTCTCAGCGTCCATATCCTCCTCTTACAAGGAAGCCAGTCCGATTGGCCTAGGACCCGTCTAACGGCCTCGCTTTAAGTGAGCCATCCCTTTAAAGAACCTACTTCCAGAGACAGACACATTCTGAGGCTCTGAGGTTGGGCTTCAGCAGATGAATTTGAAGGCAACAATTCATCCCATAACAGGTAGCCCGCGAGAATCTTTACTTGATCACCAGTCATCATCATAACTAACATGGATGGGGTGTCACTTACCAGTAGCATGTGCCAGAGACTGCTGTATTGTTCATGTATGAGTCCATCCCATCTTCACAACTGGAGATTGTGTAGTCATAGGTCATAATTAGCTAGAGTTTACCACCTTCTTTTCTGAAAATGGTCATCTTCACTTGGCATAGTTCTGTGATCAAGGGAGCCCCGTCCGTGACCCGGGGTCCCTGTGACTTGAGGGGACTTGGAATAATGGGAGAACCTCATGCTCACGCTTTGGTTGGTAGAAGGCTTCTGGAAGCACAAGGCTTCCTTTCTCAGCCCGTGACCTCCACACACCTGTGTTAAGGGCCAGGCCAGTCCGAGTGGGAAACAGCAACCTCTTTCAGAAGGTCCCGGATGGATTCTCCCATCCACATAGCTGAGGCTCCGCCCTCATCCCTGGGCAGGAGTAAGGCAGGAAGCTGTCATCTCAAGGGGTCCGGTGAGAACGCCTGATGAAGCCCTCTGTTCCGGGGAGCAGACGGCCTCCCATCAAAATCCTGGGTGTGCAAGACACACTCACACACCCCGGACAGCTCTTAACGCACGTTACTGAGCAGTTCTTAACGTGCTAGACACCTGTCCCTAGGTCTTCTCGTTTACCCCACTTATCAACTCTGAAAAAGCTATTCTTATTCCTGTTTACAGATAAAGAAACCAAAAATAGCCGGGGCCACAGCCTTGGGCCCCACCCTTCCCCTGTGTGACCCTGAGCTAAATACATAACCTCTCTGGGTGGGTCTCTCTGGCCTCACCTGTGAAATGAATGCTTACTCTCACCCCAAACCCCAGCTTAACTGCCCTCCACAGCTGGTCAGAGGCATTTCCGCTCCTGCCTGGCTGGGCCCAGTGTGCCAGCACCATCCATGCTCACTGTGCACCCACGTGTCTGGGCCTCCTGCTCCCACCCCCCTTTCTAGGGGTCCCAGCTACAGATGCAACAAATGAACACACGCCTATGGAACCCCCATCCCCACGTTAATGCCTGAACTCCCATCACCCAGGGTGACCTGCCAAGAAACCATCCCGTTTGCATATGGGTAGACTTGCCCCGAGTGTGAGTCAATCAGCATCCGAGGAGTGGCCTGGGCGGCCCTGCCAGCTCAGAGGCAGAGCAGGTGAGGAGTGGCACTGGGCCAGGAGTGACGCTGGGCTTTCTCTCTCCTCCTCTGCCCTCCAGGAGGCTCTCTCGGTGGTGAGCGACGACCAGTCCCTCTTCGACTCCACGTACGGAGCGGCCCATCTCCCCAAGGCCGACATGACCGCCTCCGGGAGTCCTGACTACGGCCAGCCCCACAAAATCAACCCCCTCCCGCCACAGCAGGAGTGGATTAATCAGCCGGTGAGGGTCAATGTCAAGCGGGAGTACGACCACATGAATGGATCCAGGTAAGCCCGCCAGGCCTGCGCGGCTCCAAGGCCAGGGGAGGGGCTGGAGGTGGAGGGGGGGCTGGAGGCATGCTTGCTGTCCGTGTCTGAGTGGGCAGCTCTGACCTAAGTGGCACTTGGGGTTTCTGCAGCAGGTGAGGTTCTCTCTGGTGCTGAGCCGGGGGCCTGAGTGAAATGATAGAGAGAAAAAAAGAGAGTGAGAGACACCAACGTGAGGGCTGTGGGCGGAGCAGGGCCGGCCAGCCCACCTGGCTCCGTGGGGTAGGCCCATGACCTCCTCTGCAGATGCTATGGAGGCCCAGGTACAGCCCCTGGCGGGGATCACTCAGCAACAAGACGCCCCTCCCTGGCCTGTGGAAGGTCCTTGACCCCTCGGTGTGGGTCTCGCCGGAGCAAGCATGACCACACCATCTTAGAGTCAGAGTCCACCTGATGACACAGGTGAACACATACACGGGCTGGCTGTGTGAGGGGGCACACACCACACTTAGAAAGTGGGTTTGAAGTTGGTGGTGCCCGGGTAGGTAAGACGGTGCTCGGAGAAGTGGAGGGAGAGTCCAAGGAGAGAAAAATCACAGGGGCAAGGAAGAGCTGGCGTGGCGGCAGGGAGCCCAGGTCCAGTCCTGGCGCTGCCCTTGGGCATGCGGCCTGTGTCTGGGCGCCAGCTCCCTCCTGCCTAAAAGAGCGCTGGAGGTTCACTTCTCCGCGGGCTTGCTCCCTGGGTCAACTCTGATGCTGGAGGGAAGGAGCCAGGATAGTGCCCAGGACTCAGAACGTGCTGGGCAGTGATGTGGTCACCACCAGCAAAGGCGTGAAAGGGAAACCGTTGGCCTCCTGCATGAAGTACCTGGTCATCCCAATGGGCCCGCAGTGCAAGGGGATACACGTGAGAGGAAGAGTGGGCCCCGAATGGCAGGCTGAGAAAGGATGGAACTCATTCCACGGCAAAGACTGACTGTTAACATAGACATGGCATTTCTGTCATCGGGGCTGTGACTGCAGACGAGTGAGCTGACGGTCATTGTGCACAGAGGGTGGGAAGGGGCGAGTCGGGAAGATGAGCTAAGACATTATTGAGATATCCCTGGAAAGAAATGGAAATGTTCTCAGTGAGGCTCGTGGTGATGATGATGGAAATAAGGAGGGGTAGAGACAGGAGGGGTATGTCAAAGGGGTAATCACCAGGGCTCAGGCCAGCAAGTACTGAAGCGTGGAGTGTGTGTGTGTGTGTGTGTGTGTGTGTGTGTGTGTGTGGCAGGGGGAGCATCTGAGAGGAAAGGATCAAAGATGACGAGCCTAGATGGGTGCAGGAGGGATGGTGCTGTGAGCAGCCCCGGGAGGTGGGAGCAGAGATGCTTTGAGGAGAGATGTCAGCGTCCCTGGGAGATGCCTTGGGAGCCATCAGTAGGACATCCAGGTACAAATGTCTACACGGCTTTGGAAACTAAAGCTCAGGTAGTATTTTGGGGCTGGAATTTGGATTCAGGCTTCCTCTCTAAAGCGTTTTAACTGTGAGGTAGATGAAGTCACCACGGAGGATATAAGTCTAAAGAAAGAAGAGAGAGGGGGGTGTGCGTGGGGCTGGGAGGGAACACCTCCCCGCGCGCGCCCCCCCCC